ACACAGACAGGGTCCTGGGAGTCTACACTAACACAGACAGGGTCCTGTGAGCCTACACTAACACAGAAGGGGACCTGTGAGTCTAGTAGGCTGAACATACCCAAAGACAGGGACTTTCTAGTCTTTTTAAATGATGAAATAAAAAGACCAATGACCCAACTTTCCCAAAAGTCTCCAAGGCAGACTAGAGTGTGGTCTGTGTGTTTAAGTAAAATGAGAAACGAAATTCAGAAGAATATAAGCAGACCTGCACAGCCAAATAGAAAGTGAGGTTTGACATTTGACTGAAAGCCAGAGGGACAAAGAAAAGGGGAGCATTATGGCAGAGGTCCTGGGGATCAAATCCAGGGATCCATGTATGCTTGGAAGACACTCTACCGAGCAAGCCACACCCCTAGCCCACAACTGCCGATTCAAACACGTTTATGTCAGATCACTTATCGCTTCATTAAATGGAGTGTAGTGATTCATTTAGAACAGAGGCCTACATAATAAATGCAGGGAACCACTGCAGGCATCTATAATCTGAACAAAACCAGAAGGGGAGGTGCTCAGCTGAGGCCTGCCTGAGCTAGAGTTGAATTCTGGGTCAACTGGACAGATACCTTAAGGATCTCTAAGCAAAAAATTGGAGCAAGGGATGCAGCTTTGTGGTAGAGGGGAGAGCACGTGAGGCCCTCCATTTTCTCCCTGTACCTCAATCAATCAAAATGTAGTCTAAGAACTCAGGAGTACTAATTGGAGAGGCCATACTCAAACTACGGATGGTAGGAAACTGTAGTCAGTGGGATGAGCTAGAATTTGAGGACTGCAGTGTATTGTTTTGATTGGTGAAGGAATAAAGTCAAAGCAAGCAGGTAAAGTGAGATGCACCACACGGGCATGAGTTAGGAAAACATACAGCGGAAGGCCATCTTTCCAATGACCTTTTCCACTGCTCCCCAGTAGAGCATAAATAACCATCAAAGAACTGAGAGACAGTGTGGGTTGTCTGTCCCCGCACCACGGTTCAGGTGGCTGCCCATCCTTAACAGCAGGAAAAATGTTCCCTAACCCTTTGCCCCACACATAATCAATGCTGTGGGCTAAGTCGATGCCCACTTCCTCAAACTACCTTTTTCTTTACTTCATTCATTTCTTTCTCCTTCATATTCCTAATGACCAAACAAATAAATTTTGCATTTGCTTACTTACATGTTTATCGTATGTGTGGGCATGTAAGTGCCACAGCACAAATATAGAGGGTTGAGGACAATTTTAGGGAGTCAATTCCCAAATTCCACCAACTGGATTCTGGGGATTGAACTCAGGTTGTTGACTGGGGGTGGGGGGTGGGGGTGAGGGAAGAGCCTTTATTCATTAAGGAATCTCACAGGTCCCAGAATTTAATAGTTTTATTCATGAATACATGAAACAGATAGAGTACTCTTTTTTAAAAAGCTTTTTTGCTAGGCAGAGTAGCTCAGACTAGTAATTTCAGTACTCCAAGGCTGAGGCAGAGGGATTGTTTTCAGTTCAAGCCCAGTCTGAACTACATGGCAAGAGCTTGTCCCAAAATAATAAAATCAAGCCTAAAAAGAATAGTTATGCCCCCCCCACCATAGATTCAAGTGTTTGAATGCTTGGTCCACAGGGAGTGGCACTATTAGGAGGTGAGGCCTTGCTGGAGTAGGTGTGGCTTTGTCGGAGGAAATGTGTCACTGTGCAGGTGGATTTTGAGATGTCCTGTGCTTAAGCTCCGCCCAGTGTAGAATGTAGTCTCCTGGCTGTCTTCAGATCAAGATGTAGAATCCCCCAGCAACTTCTCCAGCACCATGTCTGTCTGCTTGCTGCCACACTTCCTGCCGTGAAGATACCTAAACCTTTGAAAGGGCAAGCCAGCCCCAATTAAATGTTTGCCCTTATAAGAGCCCTGGTCATGGTGTCTTCTCACAGCAGTGAAACCCTAAGACAACTTGGATCTGTGGAACTTCCCCCAGTTCTGTGCTCTTCCTCACACCCCTCCTGCCCTCCCCTCTACTTCCCTCTCCACATTCTTTCCCCTGTGGATTTGGGAAACTGTATGAAAACGTTCCTGCCACTTCAGCTTTTTCTTCTCTCTTATGGAAATCTTTTATCATACTTCTGTAAAGACTTAGGGAGAACAGATATGCCCATTATTCACTATGACGCTAACTTGTGCTGGGGCTAATTAGCAATGCAGCCCAACTTCATTCTTCTTTTATGTATTATTCTGTGTGGATGGGTCTTTTGCCTGCATGTATTTCTGTGCATTACATGGATGAAATGTCATTGGAGGTTCGACAGGGGCAATGGATCAATGTTAAGAAAATAGGGTCTTGTACTAATATTTCTAGTGATAGCATCATCCAAGGCTCAAGAAAGTCCAATGTTTCATCAAATTAAAATAAAGAGGACTGACATCCTTGTGGCCTTGAAAGGTAACTAGAAGACTAAAACCGGTCATTGGACTGAAGTATAACTTCAATTTTGTCAGTGAACTTTGCTAACGATCTCATCAAAAAAGGGAAAAGTTTAACACAGTCAAAAAAAAAATCATATATCTTTAGAAAACTTAACGACACCGCTGAGCCTATATGGTTCATAGGACAGTATGTCCACATTTAAAATGGCTTCACACTAGTTTTTTAAATTATTTCTCTTTCCTTGACAGGTAATTAGTTTCTAGATTCAAAACATTTAATATGAACAGATGTAGTAAGAAGCACAGCAGCAAGGGACTCACGTGCACATGTGCACACTCACACCTGCTCCACACTCACACCTGCACACTCACACGCACACCTGCACCAGCTGCTCGCAGCGTTCACTCCTGCAAAGATTTCCTTGTAAAAGCCAGATGATGACACTGATGGACAGAACCAGAGAGAAGGACAATGTGCGTCCTTATTTGGGGTGACAAAGGGACATCTTTTCCTGTTCACAGCAAGATCTCAACTTATAAGAAAAGCAAATAACTCTTTAATGGGTAGGATGAGGAGGCAGGCACTTGTAATCCCAGCACTGGAGAGATGGATGGAGGTGGAAGGCGCTACAGCTGCAAGCCTGGATTAGACTGGGAGTCTCAAAACACTAAAAATAAATAAAAACAAAAATGGGGCTGGGCCAGTGAGATGGCTCAGCTGGTAAGGGTGGGTGCTGGCAAACCTGGCGACCCGAGTTCAATCCCCAGGACTCACATCCAAAAGGCAAGAACTGACTCTGGCAAGTTCCCATCCAACCTCCACATACATGTTCAACACATACACACAATAACAAAATAAAATAAAGCAAAAAGCAGAGAGTGAGAATCAGGAACTCCAGGTCAGTCCTGGACTACATGAGAACTTGTCTAAAAAATAAAATAAAATAAACCCTAACTAAATAAATGAGGACTATTTACAATGTTATTTTACCTAAAGCCCCATGTTCCCCCTTCTGAAAAAATAACAAAAAAAAAAAGATACTTACCTCTGCTTCTGCTGCCAACTGCCTCTTCTTGGCTATCAATTGTCTCATGGTCATGTGACCTATGGGAAATAATAACTGGATGTTTAAAACCGAGCCTTAAGTTGATTATCTAGCAGCAGTAAACCATTAAGTTGAAAGCAAGCAAATACAAAGACGAGTGTCGGGCCGTGGAAGGATGTCTTGATTCTTGCCTGGGCATGGGCTTTGAACCCAGACTCCAGTGGAGAAACCGCAGGTATTTGGCCACGCCCCCAAAATCCAGGCTCCTACACGTGGTCTAGACCTCCATTTAACCTGCGCCTTGCAGTTACGTTTGGCTAAGCAGCCCCTCCCAGAGAGGTTTGCGTCACCATCCACACACACACACACAGGTAGAAGGCATGACTACAGGCTTCAGCCTCAAGAGATTTCCATATTCATAAGTTACCTAAAGGCCCGAGGGCGTAGCTAAATTAAGTGACCCTCCTCTTCCCCCTCCCTATTTAAGCCAGGCTCACTCTGGCTTAAGTGAGGGGTGCACATCTAGACCATCTACCACACACCATGAACAATAAAGCTTTGGAACCCCTTTGGACTTTTTTCGTGTTATTGGCGCCTGCCGCAGTGGAAAGCTACCCTAGGTTTCCTCAGACCGGTGCATACATCATAGTGCAAACACAACAGAGCCCTTCAGACAGAAACACAACAGTCCAGGACAATTACATGGACAGTTATGGGTCTACTTGTGGCAAGGTGAGACATTATGTCCCAGAACAGATCTTCTTGAGACTATGAAGATACTGAATAAAATATTAAGAATGGAAAAATTTGCTTTTAAGACTCATTGCTGGGACTGGAGGGCTTAAGGCTCTGTGGTAAAGAGTGCTTGCTGCTGGTGCTGGAGAGATTGGCTGAGTGGTTAAGAGCACTGACTGCTCTCCCAAAGGTCCTGAGTTCAATTCCCAGCAACCACATGGTGGCTCACAACCATCTGTAACAAGATGTAATTCTGTCTCCTAGTGTCTGAAGACAGCAACAGTGTACTCACATATATAAAAATAAATCTTAAAAAAAAAAAAAAGAGCGCTTGCTGCTCTTGCAAAGGACCCGAGCTAGATCCCAACACTCAAGTTAGGCTGCGCACACCACTGTCCCCTTCTCCAGGGCATCCAACACCTTGTAGCCTCCCAGGGCACCTGCACTCACATGTGCATACATAATTAAACTTTTAGAAAAATATTTTTAAAAACTTCACTGCAAATCTGGCCCAAGTCCACAGAATGAAAGATAAAAAGAAGCTGGACCCCTAAGGGACATGTGGTAAGCACATGGACTCTGGCCAAGTGCTAGACCTTCTGCACACTGGCGGCCACACGACATGTGGTCTTCACTAAACCGGATGCAAGGTCTGGTTCTTTATGGAATGGCAAAACCTAGGGCCTGTTTGGACTTCAGACTCTGAAGTCTAACAGAATACCTCCTTAGAGCTAAGGACCCACATGGCCACGTCCTCAGTGTCCTGGACAGAAACAGAAGGTAGCAGAAAAGAAATGTGTCTGTCTCTCCTTCAAAAGACCAGGAGAGACTCCCCTGAAAACTTGGAACACTTCAGTGGATTTTGCAACCCAAACTTTTTTGTTATCTCAAAAACCTCAGAGTGTGTTTGTTTAACAGCACACTGTATTCCTAGACTGCCAACAGATAAATACAATTCCTCCTGGGAAGGTCACAGAATTAGCCAAGGCCTTCAACAGTTCTAACAGATAGAGTTCTGAGAACAGGTGAGAAGTTCCTCCCGGTTACAAACCATGAGAGGAGCAGCAGTGGTGGAACACAGGGGCTCAGGTCAGAGAGGAGGCATCAGTGACGCCATAGAAACAACATTCAGTTACATGCATATATACATGCTATATATATGTATGTGTATATGTATATACTGTATATTTTTATTATATGTTTGTATGTATGTATATGTATATATGTATAGATAGATAGTCTCAAATAATAAAGAAAAATGATGGCAAACACATGCTAAAGTGATTTTTCCAGAAAAAAAAAATAGTATGAAGACTTGTTAGGTTCCTGGGACTTTAACCTTGGTCAAATGTCAAGCTGACATTGCTTTACAATATTGTATTTAATATGCTTTTTGCCAAAAGTCAAATGTTATATACTCAGTTTCTAGGTTACCAGTTGCATGGTAAATCAGTGTTGTCCAGGGTAGTAGTCACTAACTATATAGCCCAGGCTGGCCTCAAAACTCACAGTAATCCTTCTGCCTCAGTTTGGATTACCAACAGGTGTCCAGCTAAGTAGAGCTTTGTTTTGTTTTCAAACAGGATCTCACATAACCCAGGCTGGCCTTGAACTCCTGATCTGCCTGCATACAGCTCACAAACTGTAGGATTATAGGTGGTAACACCACGACCTGCTTAATAAGGGTTTTTAAAAAGTTACAAAATAAGACTTCAAGGTAAGTTGGCAGACTGGAATCTGCCTCTATGACACAGTACAAAAGTGTCAAAATAAGAAAAATACAGACTCTATTCCAGAAAGGAAGCATCTCAGAAACCCTTCTAGCATGATAGGCAAATGAAGAATAACAGGGCATGTGGCTCAGGGTTCACCACACCTATCTCCTCCAGAAAGTAAACCAGGAAGCCTGGTGAGAAGAAACAGACAGGCTGCCCACAGGCCAGGGCCAGCTCCCATATGCCTCAAACCATCTCTGGTCTTACTGAGACTGTGACTTCTCTGCTAAAAAGAGCTGCTCCAAGTCAGAGAGCTAGGGTGGGGGCCATCTTATGAGGAAACCTATTGTTAGAACTGAACTGGGGGTCCCAGTGGCAACGCACTTCTTTGATCCCTGCATCTCGGAAGGTAGAGGCAGGGAGATCTCTGAGTTAAAGGCCAGCCTGTCTACAAAGTGAGTTTCACGGCTACACAGAGAGATCCTGCCTTGAAAAACCAACCAACCAACCAAATTAAAGAAACAAAACAAAAACCACCTGGGCTGGGGACAGTAAGATGGCTCAGCTGGTAAAAGCACTTCCTGCCAAGACTGAGGACCTGAGTTCAATCTCCCAGGCCTCACTTGGTAGGAGAACACTGACTCCCAAAACTTGTCTCCTGACACCACACACATGCCACAGCACAGTGATATTGGGGTCAGTGGGGAGCATGATGGAAGGTTACCTAGCATTCAAGGCCAACCTGGGCTATAGTGTAATATGAAGTCTCAAAGCAACAAATGCTATGAGATAGCTCAACAATCTGTCTTCAGTACCTGGAACCCAGAGTGGACCAAAGTTCCAACTCCCAAAGCTGACCTCTGACCTCCACACATGCTGTGACTGACCTCTGACCTCCACACATGCTGTGACTGACCTCTGACCTCCACACATGCTGTGACTGACCTCTGACCTCCACACATGCTATGGCAAATGTGCATCCACACTCACACATGTACATCACACACACACAATAAATAATATTTTTTTTAAAAGCAAAGGAGATGGAAACCCACTCTGTGTATTAGCTTAAAAATTAATTTTAAAAGCTGAAATGGAAGATATGTAACAGTATATTACATAATAGCAAAATACAAAAATAAAATCCTGACTTTGAGATGCAATACTTTAAACAACAGTTCTTTCCAGTGATCCATTTAGCCCTTGTGGCCCAACTATCTTGCACAGTTCTCCTTTAGCAAGTCCTGCGACAGTCCTTCACTTTCTCCCTACCCTACTCTGTGGTGCCACCATGGGCTTTGAACTGCTAACCCTTTACCTTGAAGATGACTACCCATCTATAGAAAGTATAACTATGAGGTGACAGATATGCCAATTACCCTGATCTAATCGCTGCAAACACTGTCTCGATCTGATCCATAAACAGAATCAATTACTCCATTGACAACCTGTAAAGAATGTATCACACATCAATAATTTAACCAAAACCCAGTGGAAAAAGTAGGAGTTTGTCCCATTTTTGTTTTTAAAATAAATAAGCTGATTAGTGCCCTCTTCTGACCTCTGTGGGTGCCATGTACACATGTGGTACACATATATACATGTCATGCACTCACATACATGTGGTACACATATATACACACGCCATGCATTCAGATACATGAGCATCTTTTAAACTTTCCCATTTTTTCCTAAAACAGACTACTTTCATCCTAGCTTTACTATGCTTGCCATAAAGAAATAAAGATAAGAGTCATATGAAAGCTATCTGTGGGGGCTGGAGAGACAGCTCAGGGATTAAGAGCACAGACTGCTCTTCCAGAGGTTCAATTCTGAGCGGCTACATGGAATTCACAACTGTTTGTAATTCCAGTTCCAGGGGACCTGGCATCCTAACGCAGGCAAAACACCAATGCACATAAAACAAAAATAAGTAACTCTTAAAAAAGAAAGCCATCTCTAATCTAGATCCACAGAATAATTAAGGCAGGCGCTCTCTCTCTCTCTCTCTCTCTCTCTCTCTCTCTCTCTCTCTCTCTCTGTGTGTGTGTGTGTGTGTGTGTGTGTGTGTTGTTGGTGGTTGTGGTTTTCTGACAAGGTCTCAGTTATCTGAGGGTAACCTCACACTTGCTATGTAAATGAAATTAGCCTTGACCTGCTGACTCTCTTGCCTCTACCTTTGTGGCAGCTGCACTCACACATGCACATACCCCTGTACACAAAAATAAATAAATAAAAATAAATCTTTAAAAAAATACCCCAGCAAAATTAAAAACTTCAGTAAAGGTTGCTTGACAGAGAGAATATATCCCTTGAAGAGACATTTCCAATAAGAATGTTCAAACAGCCAGCATGGTTGCACAGACTTTAATCCCAGTGCCCAGAGGCAGAGGCAAGAGGACCCACATAGCTCCACACAGAATTCCAGGCCAGCCAGCACTTCAGAGAAATCTTGTCTCGGAGAACCCAAGGAAGGCCATTCAAACAACACCAGACCAGACCTAAGAGCATAAACTCCTTTCCTAGATATAAATCTACAGTTTTCTGGCAATCTCAAAAAACAAGACTGTGAAGTTTATTCACAGTAAAAACAGGTCTTCAGTCCCTGAGCTTTTTTTCTTACGCTTTATGACCCGTGGTTTTGCTTATCAGACTGTAATTGTACCCAAGGCACCTCAGGAAACCTTGTGATGATCTCATTTACTGGAAAAGAGGAGGGGGAAAGTGGCCGAGAAACTCTCTGAAGGACTGAAGGACGTCAACGCCACGGAGATCACCGATAAGGATCCTAAGACACTGCTGGGAAGGCCACACCACACTGAAGTATGTGCCACTCTCCGCCTAAGCAGCTCTCTCTACTCTGAGTATTTGTTTTTGAGACACAGTCTCACTGTGTAACCCTGGCTGGCTTCCCTGTCTCTGACACATTATACATACAAGTATTTTTTTAGTTTTTTTTTTTTAAATAATCTATTTGTTCTCATTTTAGGGACATTGGTGTTTTGACTAAATATGTCTGTATTAGGGAGTTGGATTCTCCTGAAACTGACAGGATTTATAGACAGTTATGAGCTGCCATGTGGGTGCTGGGAATTGAACTTGGGTCCTCTGAAAGGGCAGCCAGGGTTCTTAACCAATGAGCCATCTCTCTAGACGCTAGATTTGTTTATGTGTGTGTGTGTGTGTGTATACATATACATATACATATACATATACATATACATATACATATAC